GGGTGTTGTACTCTGTTTCCTGAACTGCAAGCACAGCAACCGCTCCTATGGGATGCTGTTCTGCCCCTGGGCCCTGTTTCTGAGACTAGTAGCAGTAGACGCGTGTCCAACCAACTTATAGGACGATGACCAGAGATCTGCGCAAGCCTGTCTCGCTGTCTGGTTCATGAGCATCGCTACTGTTGTCAATTATGCTGCGCGGCAATGCAGGTCTGTCACGTCCTGCGGGTACCTTCCATAGTGCCTCATGTTTTCGAAGCCTGCGGCGGTTGTATTGCGCTCTGCAAGTTGTTCATCCTGATCAGCTTTGCTCCTCTTGTCCAGGTGAACTGGAACCTCGAAAACAGATGCTGAAGGACTTGCGGACGGGCACATTGTGCCAGACTGGATACTGTAGGATACTCGTACGAGGCAAAGCTCCGCAATTGCACTGACAAGGAAAATCAAAAAGAAGCACAGCCCACAGCTCGACTGGAGCACCAAACTCGAAAGGATAAGAAGGCCATGCAAACCAAGAAGACAGCCGAGCACTGAAGGCGACGGAAACACGAGGCCATTACCCAAAGAACAAGTGACAATATGACACAGTTTACATTAGCAGGTTCCTAGACAGGCAAGGAACTGTTTGTGGGAGGTCGGACAGGCTGCCAGCTTCCGGGATCGGTACGAGCGGTACGAGCACAAAACCCCGGCAGCAATGCCTTCAGGAGCATCTTCATCTGCAGGATGATGGCCACCGTCTGCTCGTCGGCCTGCAAGACGCCGCAATCTCTGGCCCGGAACTACCTGCTGGTCAAAGGACAGAAACAAACACAAGTTGTCCAAGGCCTTCTGAAAGCCAAGGGCGCTGTCAGCCAGGATGAAGTGGAAGTCGTAGTCCCTCACATTTCAGCTCAAGCTTCATATGCCTTGTAGTGGCTTGCCACAGGTCCAAACATCAACACACTCATACATGCCACACCCATCATCGGAGTTGCCGTGGCGCACAATGCTTTGATGCATCATGAACCGCAGAAGGGATTGCCTGAAAACTCGGTACGGGATTACAAGTTCTGGGGCCTGAGGTTAAGAATTGAACTATGAGCCCGCCCCCCCGCCACCAAAACAAAGAGATTGAAAGGTACACTACAATGCTACAATCGCTGAGATTCAGGATGCCTTTATTATACTAAGACTAAGAAGCTTGCTTGAGTTGTTATCTACCCCTTCTGTAAACACCTATCGAAACCGCACAACCTGCCCCCAAAAAAGTTGAAAATCTCGCAGAAGCGGACAGGGGCACCACTACTACGGCAACGACGACAACAACGACTGCCACTGCCATTGCCACTGCTGCTACTGCTACCGCATCTGCCACTGCTACTGCCGCTACTACTAACTAAGACTACCACTGCCACTACTACTACGACTACCACTGCCACTACATCTCCCTGGCCAAACCTTTTCAAAGGGCTGAAGAGGCATCATGTTGAGCTTGTGCTGCGCAGTCATCTGGTGCTGGGCCGTGGTGTAGATTCGCCTCACCTCTCCGGAAAGCTCGGATTGACTGTGGAGTTGGGCTCCTGCGACCCTTGGCTCTGAAAGCTGGGGGCCGACCTCGATGTTCTTGAGCCTGCGGTCCTGCTCCTCTTCGGCATTGCTCACGATGGCTCGGGCATCTTCTTCCTCGATTTGCAGGCAGTCCGTTGGTCTTGGAAGTCATGCATGCGTGCACGCATACAGATGTACCGGCACATGCTTACATTCGAGGTCCGTGGGGTGAGGCATCTCAGCTGCATCTGCCGTCCACCCCAGAAAACCCTTACCCAAACATACCCACACATGCCACACGCACACGGAAGTGCAGTCAGTGAGGCATGACTGCATAAACCCGAAAGTCACGAAAGCACGTCTTCTCCGAAGCTGCCTAGCTTGTTGGTTCTGACTGTGGGCCCTAGGAGTTGCCGAGCCTGCAGGGTGCCTCAAGGTGTCTCACACTGCCACCGTAGACTCGGGAAGACCTTCAAGAGGCAACCTCCACAACTGCCCCCCACTGGGCCGAGCCATCCCTGAGCGAGATTTCCCTTTTATTCGGAGAGCAACGTCAGACCAGCACGCCATCAAAGGACAGAAACCCCGCAAGAGGCGCAGCTACATCGCACCTGCGATCCGAAAGTACAAAAGAAATGACATCCATCCCTCTCTGGCATCTCCTAACCCGAAGACGCAAAAGCCAGAACCCCTGCATAAGGACGTTCGAGGAAGAGGCCGACCAAGAATAAATCCCTACGGACCCGTGCAAACCTTACCAGCACGAACAACCCTACGACACGCTCTAATAACAACCAAGAAAGCCCAAATTATCATGGGCCCGAGGCCTCCCACCGCCCTCCTCAGGCCAAGCGTCCGTCAGCGAGCAGAAGATGTCACAAACCTTGGTCTAAGGTCTGACCGTGGGGCTAACAAGGGATGCCACTGATGCCACTGCTTAGATTAAGGGGCCGCCTGTTTTCTGCAACTCCCCCTATCATCATTATACCCCGCTGGCGCTGCTGCGTGGTACGGACTTCGGGTGTGGGGTTCCAAAGGTCAGCCTGGCTCGCACCACTTGACCTATAATAGAGTATAATATAATATAGTCTAATATAGTATAGTTTATTTTAATAATTATAGCTGTTGCGGGCAAGCTGCGGATCCCGAAGCGACCATCCTCGAATCAGTGGCCGCGGTGTCTAGGCACATCCCAATCCCCTAGTTGCAGGCGAGGACAGGGTGGAGTATTGCTGTAAATGGCATTGTACGCTGCCTGCCTCTGCATGGAATTTCAAGTTACTTGCAGCAAACGTTATAGTATTTGTGCCCCGAATACGGGGGGACTTGGCTCACCTCGGGCCCGAAACACAAGACTCAGGAACGCAACCACAGAGACAGCTCCAGTAGGAGCTCCGCCCTCCGATTCTTCGCCGAAGCACTCGTCCAAAGCGAACAGGATGGCACAGCCGTATCCTCATGATCTCGCGAAAGGCGAATAGCGAACTAGCGGCACGATAAGAAGCCAGGCTCTTTGTTGATTGTTGCACATGCAAAAATTAACAAGCTATGCAAGGAAGCACCTCAAGCCGCAGGTGCTTGAACTTGGGTTCGGTCTTCTGATGGCCTTCTACCATCAGGCTGACCGCGACAGTCTGACAGAAGCCCTCACAGGTGGTCCTCGTTCGGTGAAGTTGCAGATCAAAACCTGCACTTTCTCCTGGAAAATCAGCAATGCTCAACGGCTCGGGCTGAGGGACGCCCCCAAGCTGAAAAGAGGGAATCTGCCTTGGATGATGTCGTGATGGTCTCAGTGGAACGGGGGTGATGATGCGGATCACCATCATCATCATCATAAACAACAACAACAGCAACATCAATATCATCATCATCATCATCATCATCATCATCATCATCATCACACACCGCCACCACTATCCTGAATTCTCGCGTCCCCATCTCCATGCCCATGTTGGTGGTGATGCTCGTCACGGTCGCGGCAACGGTGATCACCGGCTGCTGTGGTGATAATGAAGATGGTGAGGCTAAGGGGTGACTCTGAGAATAACAGATGGGCGATTCGTGATTCCTCATGGGCGAGGGGCGACAGACAATGGGCGAAGATGATACTAAGTAGCACGATCAAAGCACTCAGATCTAGCCTGGTCACCTTCGGGTACCGACCTATGCAAAAGCCCCCAAGCAAAGAAGTGAAGGAGTCTTCGATGCTGCCGTGTCGCATTGTCGTTTGGATCCGCCTCCACGAAAGTGGAAGCCCCGTACTTATTTCGCCAGGCCTCCATCAACTCAGGGAGGCGGATTTGACGTGTTGAGGGTCAAGCGCCCGCCAAAGAAGGCAGAGCGGGCCCAGGCAATATCATGCTCGATAGTCTATAGGGACATTATAGGGAGTGCATTGCCAGGCAGAGCCCGAACTTAGGTTAGTATCTGCTCCCTGGTGGTCAGCCGTCTGAAAAAGCACAAGGAGACGCGCGAGCCCGCAACGAGCACAAAGCAGTGCACATCCAAAGAGGTTCTTTCAAGCGTGCGCCGCCCAATCAACACAGAGCTCATCATGAACACTTGGCAGCACCTCCCCTCGTGCTTCCAAGTTAACCCGTCATGGTGGCCGAGAGTGCTATCCTTCTTGAGCGTGTTGGCCACGCGCCTCTCGAGCGACGCGACTCTTCTTTCTTGTGTTGTTAGTAAATGCCATGTTTTCCAAACATTTCACCACTTTGAGGAATTTGCGAGACTTCAGCACGTCGGGATCTGTCTTGAAGACATAGGCCGCCGACTTCTTTGCCTGCTTCTCGTTCGGCATCACCCGCGGAGCGGGCAGACTACCACACTGCACGTGGATGCGGGATACATACTGCATACACAACTGCTTCCCTGCGTCGTTTTCGCGAAAAACGAAGGATGTCGACTCGGCCTCTCCCTCGTACGATTTGTCGCTCCCCGCCACCAAAGGAACGATTTTTGTTTGCTCCTTACGCGAGAAGGAACCACCACCAACTGCAGTCAAAACTGCGAATTCAGCGAGGCACTGGGCGAAAGCATGGACCGCCCAAAGCTCCCCTTTTCCTGAAACTGGAGGTCAGCTGGGTCTTCCTGCGGCGGCCTTATGGGGAGGCAAGCCTTGGTTGATCCTGCGTAGACCCAGCTCCAGCTTTGCTCGAGCTGCTGCGCACCGTAACTCCATGCTTCGGCAACGGTCCGCGCTGTCTTCAGTGCAGTTCAGTCTATCTGCAATGACTGCGCATGCGGGCAAGTCGTCGCACATCGTCCAATGGTTCAAGAAGAACCGCGGAAGAAATCGTGGCCTAGGATGTCGCCGTGAGATGATGTGAGATGCTTTCCTTGACTTGCAGGACTGGTGGAGCTGGCCTGCACCAGGAGAGCAAGGAATGTGTTGGGGAGATTCGATAACACCTGAATCGAGTCGGTGGACCCAGGCAACCAAATCGAATCATCCACATCCCTCAGCCGATCCCTCGTGGCAACGTCTTTCTGAGCGCCAGATGCAGCCGCCATCCCCGCCAGCCCCACCCACAGGTGCAACACCCAGCGATGCGACTGTGCATACTACTGTTCCCGACCTGTATCGACACGAAAGAAACGCGTCGCGAGGGAGAATTTTTCTCCTGTTTTCGCGTAGTTGGCTTCACTTGCATCTTTGTCCACCCATTCGCGAAGCCGAGTTGACACATGCCTGTAGACTGCTGAGATCTGCTGAGTGGCTGCTATCCATCTCAAGCGTTCTACTATTTTTGCCTCCTGCCTGACCGAGCTAGTGTTCAAGGTGACGATTGTGCTTTCTACTGCCATGACACAGTCTCTTGCCCAATCTGGTCGCAACTGCCTGGAAATCCATCATTGGCTCCGGCATGCGCTGAATGGCATCGTCATCCTACAAAGGCATCGACATCTACGACTCATGGCCAGACCCCGGCTGGGCTCACTCAGAACCTGAGAAGGAACGGTCAAGGATGTGGGCTCAGGCTTCGTGCTACATCGTCCGGCGTCCTCGGCCAGGACGATCACTTCATCGTCCTGAACACTCCATGCACGGAATGCACGCTCGCGTAAACTGGTACCTTGCGCGCAAAACCTACATCGAACAGGGTCATGGGCGGGAGTTCCATCGCTCCAACTGCAGGACCAGCTCGCCACGCCAGTCTACGCGGGGGTCCAAATCGAGTCTGGGTGTGATACATGCCATGTAATGTTCAGGGACACGGGGAGCATCCTCGCTTCCAGATACTGATTCAGCCCCCTCCGATAATTGAAGAGATTGAGATGAGAGTCTCTTTACGATCTCACACAAGGGCGGGGAACGTCGTTCCGGGATTGAAGGGCATCAAAACATCTCAAGGCGGTTCTTTGTAGGCCCAACCCAGGCCAATCCCCGTCTTTCCTTCGCTGGGCCTTCTGGTCGCCCTTCCCTTGCAACCCGAAGTAGCAAGCCCAAAGTGGGGCTCGGTCCATCTTCACTTTGTAGGATTTCTCGGGGTTGATGATGTAAGCACCTGCGAAGCACGGACGTCAGCACCGCAGGAAGGGATGCCGGACAATGTGAATGCATCGCGAAGATCCCATCCGTGCCGGACCCGGCCTGAAGCATCTCGGATACCGATCGGCACCGTTTTCTCACACCAGAAGGGCACCTCCTGCGTCGGTGAGTCGAGCTGCACGAGCTTCAAAGCTTATCTGGCCTTTCCTGCCTATTCGCCACTGCATAAACACCTTCGTGGTCCCAAGCACACCCCTGAACCGGGCAAGGACAAAGCCGGATTTCCATTTCCAGGGTGCCCATTGCCTTACAGCCTTACAGCAATGCGGCGACGGAGCTTCATTTGGATCGAGATCCTACTACGACTATTCCATTCGGCATCGAGGATCACTTGAGAACCTCCGACCAATCAAATCGCCTCGCCTGTGCCAGCAATGCCGCAAAAACGTCGGAATGCAAACGTGCACCTTTGCACGCCCGAACATGCATGTATGTCAAAGCCCGGCAATGCGTACCAGATGCTTTCAAGTCTACTGGTAAGCTTTGATGCCCAAAACCCACACCGGGTTGGGCCTGGAAAGTCCTGCCCACCACACCGACGTCCAAGGCTTTTGCAGCATAGAACTCGTCACCCTCAAAGCCAATGATGGCCTCGTCTCGAGGCTTTCAAGCTGGTGCTGCTTCGTTGTCACCTAAACCGCTTCACGCAAGATCATGATGGCCGTTCTGCGTTCATTGGTGCGGGGAGCGCGAACTGCAGCCAAAAAAAGCCACGAGCCCTTGAAAACATCAGGTATCATCTAGTCTCCCTGCAGTGAGCGAGAAGCTATGAAGTGCTACTCGACCAGGCAGCACAAACGCAGAGTCTGGAGGTGCTTTCAGACATGTTCACAAGCCTTTTCCTGGAAGCATCGTGGTTACACCAATGGTGCACGGCTCAGGCCCGAGCATTGAAGATGGGGCAGAGGCCCTGACGGGCGACGGCCGATTCGGAAGCTTCATCTATTGCTGTTCCCGATGCGGCGCGATCCCAATGGCCCGATGGAAGGTTGTGAGTTCGACACCATCAGCCACAACTAGCAAGATCAGCACCACCTCCGCCCTCAGTCAAGTGCTCACCATCAGAATCAGCAAAAGCTTTCAATCCCAGCTCTGATATCGGAGGTCCAGGGCTTCCTTTCACCATCACCAAACGCCTTAAGCCCCTAAACCCAAAGTCTTCCTTCAGGCCCTCGAAGTTCAGGCTTTCGGGCCCCGCTGAGGCTCTGCCTGATCCCGGGCGCTTTGCACCATCAGCCGACCGAGGCGTTCACCGCTCAAGACGAAGGTCTTCCCTGCTCCGCCGGGCTTTTTTGTTGTGGATTTTTTCGTTGGGGCTCTGCAAATCTCGGATTCATGTCGTGAAGGGGGGGGGGGTGCCATGCGACTCTTCGCTGTTTCTCATGGAGGGTTTTTGAATGTGGGATAGGAAGCGTTCACCCTTCAGAGGTGAGGCTTCCTCCAGAGCCGGCATACCCGATAGCTAGTACACAACGACCAGGACCTGGGTAGAGCTCGTTCATAAAGCCCACGTTCTTTCCCAGGCAACACCTCGGCTTGCTTAGAGGTGCCACCCAGAGAAGCACGAGAACCCAAAACTTCCGCAAGGACTGGCTGATGTTACGCAGCAGCCCTGATTCCGCGCTTTAAGCTTCAAACTCTTGAACCCCTGCCCACAGCCTTCGTAACCCAGGACTGCATACGAGTGACTGGACCGAGATGTGGCCGTTGTTCGGCCAGCCCGTCTTGCCCTGGCCTGACAGGGCATGGGCTGAGCCGGGTCCCATGTAGAGCTTTCTCCTCAATCCCACCGCGCCTCGCAATGTGAGCAGAGTGCCAAAAGCGATGGAGTCCGCCTGCCATGCGGCAAAAAAATGGAGTGGCAGTTTAAGCAATGGCCTGCCTTCTCTGCGGCCGTCACCTACCCCTCTCGCATCGCGGGCTCCGAAAACTCTGGCGGCACAGAGCCAGTTGGGCTGGGTCACCCGACATACACCTCTCATCGCCCCTCAAACGTTAGTTACGTGAGCTGTCTCACAATGCTCTCGAAGTCGCCCCTCAGACAGGGCGGTGGCAGCCTCGTCCCGAGGCAAAGATGGCTCATCTAGGATCACGATCCTGCTTTGCCACGCTTCGGCGCCGAATTTGTTCAAATGGTCGTCCACGTGATGATGACTTAAAAAGGGAGAATCCTCGACTGGCGCACCGCACCCGATAGCCTAACCCCGGCTACAGCCAGGACTGCACACAGCATGGTGATGGGAGAAGCGATATAAGAGCTGCCCCCAAATGGACTTGTTGCTTCCAGCCTCATGAACCGGTGGGATTGGAGCCTGTTCGGGGCGCTACTTACTTCCGGTGCTGCCAGGTGCTGGACTTCCTCAAGGCAAGGACATTCGGATTGGTTCTGAGTTCGGGGTCAGGGGTTTAGAGCTTCTTGCTTCAACCAAGCTCCGAGCCCGCAACACGCTCCTGCTGCAGACGTCCGCGCCCACTTTCCAGAGGTCCTGGTCTGGCCAGATTTGAAACTTTCACGAAGACATCCACAGCATCAATATACAACATGCCGAGCATGCGCCAAGGTCCTCAGCCGACGAAGGCAGCCCGCCACGGCACACGATCCTTGGGGGTTAAGGGTATAAAGCATTTCAGTCTTCGACTCAACTGAAGCACCGCGAAAGGCACCTTGGCCCAAGGCTTGGTGCACCCATTGCAGGCCTTCTTGGCTTGGGAACTCCAAAGGTGGACCCTTCGACCGATTTTCCTGTTTGGATCTTGGCGTAGTTACGGCATCCCAAAAGGGCAATCTGCCGCGTGAACCATGGAACCCTAACTTTTGTTGCGAGGTTATCTGTAATCTGTGTGTCAGATTGGGCTGCCGCTGCGAGGAGCAGCCTATGCACAGTCTGCGGTCGCAATGCCCGTTAACATCTCCTCTTCAAATAGCCGGAAGCTGAGTCTAAAGTTGAAACCCACTCGGTCTGAAGACCGACCATTCTTCTGACCCATGCACTTTTGGCAGGAGGAGTTTGGGCTGGACGGCAATCTATGACTGGCTCTGACGTGTGCCTTCCAGAACCTCATTTCGAGAGGCTCTTTGCCAGCAGAATGATGACTTTGCTGTTGTAAGTGCATTCCAAGCTACTTGAGGTCTCCGGTATTGGTGTTTTGCCGCTTGATCTCTTCTTCGATCCTTAGATCAAGCACCGGGGTGGTTTTTGCAAGCCCGCACTGAAACGCCGGGCACGAGGCGTTGCATATGCAATTGTCGTGCTGAGGACCTGCTCGAACCATATTTGCAGAATGACTGCAGGCCCACGCTGGGATATCAAAAGCGATCACATGTCAACGTGAGACTGTTGCATTGCCATTCATTTCCTTCTATGCCAGAGACTTCTGAGAGACTTCGACAACTCCGGTTCGAGTGGGCGGCTTCCATGCGGGCTTACCCAAATCCACACAGCGAGGCCCCAAAGAATCTCTGCTGCTTTGCGTACTACAAGCAAGTCCCTTACAGTCGTAAAACGGACCCCAGCGTCTCAGACTTCGGCATCGTATCCAGGATTGCAATCGTCTTGGGTGCAGAGTTCGCCTCACAGATTGCCAACCTGGCTGCCAGATGCTGTTGGCAACGGTACCCACGTCCATCATACCGGTACCAAGAAGCAAAACAAGCAAGAGTAGCACAACGACTTCATGTGACCGTAACCCCTTACTCCTCAAAGCAGCTGTGGTAGGTGGAGGTATGTAGGTGGAGGTATAGGGAGACGCCAAGGCCCTCAGCATCTGCATCAAAGGAGAGAGCAACCGGCACCGAATCGCGCGCACGAAATTCACCACAGTTGAAAAGAGCGTCGCTCATGTGCCCAGAAGGATTAAGAGCCACTCCAGAGGAGAGAACCTTAGAGCCTTAGAGCCAGCTTCTCCAAGACACTCCTCCAAGAAGTCCTTCGTCTGAGAGGACAGGCCCAGCAGGACAAGGTGCCCTCCCTGGTGCAGTAAGAATGCAACTATCGATATTTGTTGCAAGCGATCGTTGCTTTCACAGCTGCTGACCGTTTCGTCACTTCGGTTGTGTTATTGGATGCAAGGCAACGTGCCGGCCTCCACGATGGGATCGCGGCCCTCGTTGGACTTCCTGACATGTCGATAACATTCTGCAAGGGGGCCGTGGGAGCTGGCGAAGGCCACTCTGAAGACCACGCTGGCTCAAATGACATCGGGGTTCTATGTCTTAACACTGTTCTGAACAAATGCCAAAATACTTCTGCTGTGCAGCGAAGAAGTCGGAGATGGTTGTGAGCAGAACCTTGGGTCACGACGGGGTTGAGGGATGCGCCCTTTGTGATTTCTTTGGTGTCACTTGTGACTTTTTGCTTGCTTCTTTCTAGCCTGTCCGTTTCGTTTCGGGTTGAGGGGGCGGGCAAGGCTGCCGTTCCTGGGACACCACACGACAGCTCGGGACAATGATGAAGACGAGCAGTGATGCGAGCATGAAGACGTGATCCTGTTGAGAGGATCCGAGTCTGCGAGTGTTTGCTGTTCATGTTATTCGGGTCGCTACACGAGCAGGACGATGTTGGCAGGAGTTTCCCTGAGCTTCTACGGCAAAGCAGATCAGCTGGGAAGCTGCCAGGAGCACCAGCCCTCCGAAGGTCAGGAGCATGCCGACTCCACCTCAGGGTTTTCTCTTGGGGGCTCGAGTTTGGATCCGTGTTGGCGACTGTTTGATGCCTGAACCCTGACCCCAAATATTCCCCAAAAAACAAGCAAACTCTTCGTCCTAGTCCTAATATATACTTCACCCCCACCTGACCTATGGAATAGCGAGCGCCGTCTGAATTGTGCATTGCCGGCGCCCCCCCCCTTCTCCACCTTCCATGGCCGTCACTGCCGGGTCCACTGAGGCAGCGGAAGCCCAGACGGTGCAGAGCCAGAGCCCTCGCACGGGGGAGTCCTGAAACAGACAACACTTCGGGCACTTGGGGGTTTTCGGATGGAATGCAGTGTTTTGGGGGTAGGGGTCTTGGGATTCGAGTTAAGCAGATTTAGGGTCAAGGAGACAGAGACCTCCCGTCGAACAGTTTCCCACTTGAGCAAACTGCGCCCAGCCGTCATTCACTCAGCATGCAGCTCGAGCAGAGCATTTGTGAACAGCAGTGTGCTGCACGATATCCTTCTACACCCCCCAGTACCACCCAAATGTCATCAACATGCGAGCACAACTCAAGGCTTGAGGCTTGGTGGCCCTAGCCTAGAAGAGTTTACACCTTACGCGCTTTTGCCGAAGGGTTCGGCCAGGGTGGGCTCTCCAAGCCCACCGCCGCAACGCTTCTATTTTGATGCAGCCCGCCCATGACCCCGAAAAGAAGGCACGGCACCTGGCCTGCATGAGGATCGCGTAGATGAAAGCGCCTTCTGAAAGCTTCCGCAGGCAGCAAGGCTTTGTGAATTCGTCGGGGAAGGGGATTAAGGGTTCTGAGTTCAGTGCTGTTTATGGAGACGGAGCTGCCACTTACGCACGGGCAGCCCAACTCCAAACACTGCCTCTGTTGAAGCAGACTGTCCTGCAAAGGCTACATTCCCTGTTCAACATGCAGCATCACGTTCACCACTGGCAAAAACTGACATGGCTACCTACCGACCTGTCCACGGTTGATGGTGTTGCACGACAATGACGACGACTGCTCTTGGTTCCTGGGGCCGTGGCCAATCGTCAGAAGCGTGAGAATTCCAATTCCCAGCAGCTTGAACATCGCGCCAATGCCACCTCCACTCAACTGGCAATGTTAAGGCAAGTCTGCTCCACCCAAGTGTCTTCCCCTGTCTCTCCACTTCAGCTTCCATCCTTTTGTTGTCTCGTGGTGGCGAACACGTCTAAGCTGGCTGTTGATGGTCACTAGTGACAGTCCTGTGAATAATGAAGAGGGTCGTTTCGGTTCTGCACTTCACCGCGTCCTTGTCGCCTATTGGCTTTCTATCTAGGTCGTCGTCCACACTGAAGATCGTCTCTCCTCGCTCGTTCCCTCCCACTCGTCCTACTCATCTTCTCTCCCACCCTCGTCCGATTTTAAGGGCTCTTGCCAGAATGGAGCATCTGAGCAGCGCCTGCGGTCATCCAGTAGTTGAAGTGGTAAGTGAGGTACTGCTGGAAGCTTCGACCTTCGATGTCTTCCTCGCAGGCTTGCGTCGATGCCACACACATTTTTAATGGCATCCCTTCAACCTCAACATGCCAGCCATGGCCATGTCGTCGCCATGCACCCATCCCAAAACTCGCCCTTCTTTCCTGGTGCTTCGGCCGGTTTCCAAGACCCCGTCACCCAAGATCCGAATGTGCTTCCGGAGCCTTGGTTCTCTGAAGAATTGTCCCTGACTGGCCGGCGACCAGCTGCGCAACAAGCGCAAAAGCCGCCGTGGCCTTCAAGTAGTCCTCGTGCATGCGAAAGTACAGAGAAGGAAGCCACCACGTCCACATCCACACTCCTCACACTCTTCTCAAGGGCGGAGGGTGCAACTAGAGGTGAGCATCACTGTCTGGTTGCAGAGGAGCCGTGCACGAGGATTTGTCAGCTTCCGGATACGGGGTCTCAGGAAACTCGGCACCTTTCCCTCTACGACTCTACGATTTAGGATATGCTTTACGTTTCGCTTGCTTGGCAGTTGCTGCTTTTCACTTGCGGCCCTGCGGCCTGGCTGCACATCCAGGGTGTCTTCCGTGAGAAAATTCAACTGATTAGGGTGACGCCGACGTGCTCCGCACTCGGGGTGATGTCTGATGCTGAGAGTTCATCAACATATTAGGTTTTGCACGCCAAGCTGCCGTAGGCCAGCACTATCCAGCCGATGATGGTGCGCACAACCACCCACCACCTCGCTGAGGATGGGATTCGGGTGACGACCGGCTTTGGTTGAAGGACGCTGAAGGCCCTCACAGACTTCGTCTCGGGCAAGCTGATCACTCAAAAGGAAACAGAAGTACTTGTGACACGTGGAGACTCTTCTCAAAGGTGTTTTTTCTGCGAATATAAAATGCGCTCGGTTGCGTGGGCAAGCTTCAGTTCAAAGTCACTGCAGCCGGGCAGCCGGGGCGTAGCCAAAGACGGGACTCCCGGCTGCAGCCGAGGGGCTGATGTTGGCCAAACTGGCTCGCGGTCTCGCCGAGGATGGGCCGGAGGATCCTGGAAGGCCAGAAACGTAGTTTCAGGTGTTGGGCTTCGCATTCGAGCAGGGTGGGCTGAGAAAGCACGATCACATCCGGAAACACATCACCACAAGCATCACAAACCCATAACCTCAAACACAAGCTCCCGTGACAGGTCGAAAGCTCCCTTGAACTGCCCGTGCTGGGTCGGTCTTGGCAGAGAAAGGTGTCACCACCGGTGCAGGTGCATAGGTCGGGGCCGCCTTGACAAAGCAGCTTGCACCGCGGGAGACCACAAGCGTACACAATAAGACCACGGATGCATAATCTAGCAAACTGTTGTATATGAAAGAAGACGAGGGCTGTATTCACTCTGGCATGCACTCCACGTGAGCCAATTGAGTTGACCGAAGGGGGTTTGCACTTTGGCCTTTAGTTCCGAGTTTCGCCAGCAACAATGAAAGTAGGACTCGTGCCAATTGCTTGTCGAGAAGCATTTTTTTAACCCGCAGTTTCTGCGGCCCTGTTGTGGTTCATGTGCAGTCAACATCTGTCGTTAGAACTGACACCATTCAACCAGAAGCGGGAAGCCTAGGCCCGAGGCAGAGGCATAGGCAAAAGAAAATCCTATTGACACCATTCAAGGCTGAACATGCCGTTGTCCAAACCGATGTGCCTTCAAATGCGGACACAACTTTCGAGTGCTAGTTCACTACACGTTACTGTCCACTAAAATCCCAAGACCCAAGCCCGTTCGTTGCACCGCACCTGAGGCGTTGCCGTGGCGGGTGCCGGCAATGGGGCCTCGTGCTGACATATAGCTTGCACTTCATGAAACCAGGATGCTGCATGGAGGCGGTTTCGGACTCCTACTCCAGCTCTCAACATTTCTTACAACTTTGCCACTGCCTTCTCCAAAGCCAGTGTCGACTCCTCTCGCGCAACCAGGCCGAATGCCTGGAGGAAGCCCCGGGACTCAGGCCTTGGGCCTACAAGGGTATTCTGTGGCCATTGCTGCCCTCCGCAAGCTCTTGCAACTTGCTGCGGCCAATTGCAAACCGCGAAACTCCCGGCGAGACCACGGAAAGCCTGCTTACTGCAACCCCCCAAGACGCGAATCCGAAACCCCGAGTGGTACACTTGCAGCGATTCACAACGCTTTTGTTTGACGCGCCGTCTTTCGAGCCAGAAAACGACTTGGGACATTTTGGGGCCGATAACCTTCGATGTGCCCGACAGTCGTTCACAAAGTCGCCGGCATTTTTTTCAGGGTTTCATTCCTGTCTAGAAATGCGGGAGTTGCGAACAACACTGCAACGTCGGCGACGATGTTTCCGTCCCACCATATTGCCCCGGCGACGACCGTGCCAAGAACAACAACAAAAAAGGAAGTGCGTGCAACCGCGACAGCAAAAACCTTTGTCCGATAGCTTCTCCAAGAAGTCCGGTGCAGGATGGGCCCCATGGTGCTACGCAGCTTGGCGAAACAACCAACAACCGTCACCGTCCGTACCGAAATTGTCATCGCCATACTCATCGTCATCGCCATCATAATCGACTCTTGCATGGCACTCGGCCCGCCTGGGTGCAAAGGTACGCGGCCAGGAATAACCGAACCTTGCCGGATATCACACGTAACCCGTGAATAACTTCAATAAAAAACTTCAATCCTTTCCCCGAAGTTGCGTGAACATAGCGTCCCCTTTACAATTTCGTAGGGGAATCAACCAGCGCAAACAACTTTCTGAGGTGTCGCTACTTGGCTGCATGCCACCTGTGCGTTGCGTATGGCTGGTAAACCTGGTATGCATAACAAACCTGTGTCAGGAAAATTTTCGTGCGGAGGGGCCATGTTAAGCGTTGGAGCGGCCAGTGCCCTCCCAAACTTCATTCTGGGATGGTCGGGCTTGAGCCCTCAAAGGATCAGCGGATGCCATGCCAAAAACTCGGAACAACGCGTCGAGACACTCACTGCATCTGCATGGCTGGGATCAGCTTTGCTTCCACCTCTTCCTGGACTCCGAATGGGCAGCGCGGATTCCCTTCACCAGCAAACAGGAAAATATTTTGAAGACGTTGTGCCGGAAGCGACGAAATGAAGTGCTAGAGACTGCGTCAATTTAGGACTTGATGTGATCACCGACAAGTGATGATGATGATGATGACGATGACGATGACGTTTGCTGATGATGGACACTCTACGGCAACTACCGCAACCTTACAGACGTCACCAAGGCAAACAGTCATGTTTGCAGAGTTGCAACATTACGGCAAAGTTGCGAAAAAGTGAACCAAAAAGAAGAAAAGCACTCAAAGGCATGCGCGAAAAGGGAATTTCGGCAGCTTCGGAAGCGTAGAAGGACAAAAAAAAATCCTGAGTTGCAGCGAAACATGTTTGGATCGAGCCACTGCATGCTGTTTTCCTGGTGTTTTCACATCTACGACCGCCAGTTCTGACTAGGCTCAGACGAACCGCCAGCACTGCTCTGGGACAGGCGTGGCCTGCCCCTTGCAGCCACGCCAGCCGGCCGGCACACACGGTGACTGCATTGTCTAGTGAACGCAGTGCACGGTCTTTAATGTTGTGAGTTGCTCTAAAGCGAGC